AAAAGGCTTGGCTAGAGGCGTCAGTTATGGAGAGCTTGGGAGCCTGCCCCCCCCCCCCCCCCCTTCCCCCAAGCCTAAAGTCTACACTTAAAGTGGACGGCTATGGAATGAAACTTGCCCCAAGTAAAGTTAATTTTTGGCAAATGAGGGACGGACTTATGTTTAGTGACTTTCGCAATACGTAGTTAGACGTTTACAAACTCCACCCTCCTTGCCCTTAAAAAAAATGGAGACATATGTGCACTTGGTATTCGAGATACTGCGTTGATTTTTCTATAGGTGTGACGTGTAGATTACGAGACTGCTCCATAGCATACATACAAGTTCGGGGTCTACGTAACATGGCTATTGGTGTCGCTAATTATTTTTCATTTTTGGGCTCAACCAGTGTTATTACGGTACAATCTACCGGCTGAGTGTAGTGAAGTGATGGAAAAAGATACACACACAAATGCCAGCCAGCGAAGAAAAGTGTTCCACGCTGGCCATCACTGTTAAGGCTGCACTGGGTAAACTTCCCTGAAATATGTGCCCATATAGACCCAATAAAGTGAACCGGGTAAACGACAGTTACCGTGGCTCAATCGGAAGAGCACCCAGCACGGTATCAGAAGGTTGTAGGTTCGGAGCCTACCAACGCGGTTCTTTTTTTTGTGGCTGTACAATTTAATTCACTTCCAGCTCTGCCATAGCTGCCACACTACAGTTAAATACAAAATAATGCCCCCTACGGTTTGCAAGGCTTGATCAGGTTTTGTATAACAAAAAAAACAAGCCCCTCAATCTATTATCTCTATTTTAGTCGTAAATAAACGAGACGAACTTTTGTAATGAACTAGGCCACGAAGCTATGCTTTCTTTAAATGCCGCGTTTATTTGTTTCTTTGCATTTCAGGTCAGACATTGAAGAACACGAGAACAAGCGATACATGTTCTGGTGAATACACAAAAGCGAAGAACATCGATTAGGACAGCTCATTTTTTAACAAATTGTAACCCGAGAATCGGGTAGCTTACCAAAAAAAATATAAAAACGAATGTATATAAATGAATACTCGCGAAAAGAAAATTAACAAAAACATAGTTTTTCTTTTGTAAATTATTTTTGAGAAAAATTCTTGATGAATTAGTTCCTACTGACTGAGCAATAAATGATTGATATCAAAGAAATTTTTTCAAGAGCCTACATGGTTTAACTGAGAACCTTTTGGTATTGAGGTTATTAAGTAAATCTTTTAGACTGTACAATGAAATCTTGCACTGCCGCGCACACTTTCGCGTTGCTGTGCCCTAGGGTATGTGAACTTAAGTATAGCAAGTTTGACGTTCTCAAAGCTAAGCCAATGATTCTTAATGGTATTTTAACGCTTCTCGGCCTTTTAGCTAGGACCACCAGAAAAACATCACCATCCACTGGTGCACGCTCCCTGCGTCCTCTTCTCCTCTATGGTCTTCTTCATCTACTGCTTCACTCCTGGAATACGTGCACTGATAACTCCAGCGCATTATACACTAACCAGGCCGTGCGACGGGTACAAAGAGAGAGGGGGAGCGAGAGAAATAAACAAAAATAAAGATACCAATGAAGAGAAATTCGAGGAGGAAAATGTTTCGCGAGGCGCGATTCGAATCCCCGTGCACACTCTCCGAAGGCGAGCCGCTAGCATAGCACGTAGTGAAAGAACAAGAGGGTGAGAAAGGAAAGTCGGGGTGTAGAGGAAGGAAAGGAAGGGAGAAAAACACAGCATAGAGAGAAATAGGCCGAACGAAAGGCCGAAAGAATAATATTTCAGCAAGAGGAATGTGACGAAGGCATGTCCTCTTGCCGAAACGTCAGTGAGAATTGCGTTTTATAGATTTAGATTTTTGTCTTCTTTTTTAGTGCATTTTCTACCGAACCCATTGAACATCCTTCTCATGATATATATATATATATATATATATATATATATATATATATATATATATATATATATATATATATATATATATATATATATATATATCAAATGACGCGTTTGAACGCGTCAATCGAAGGTCACTGGTTCGGATCCTGCCCACGGCAAGTTATTTTTTCACCCACGTTTCTTCATATTTTACATTACAATTTGGTCTAATATCTTCCCCTATACTTTCCTTGGCATTATTGTCTGTTAGATCTCATTAATATTGTGTAAAAACACGAAAAAACGAGCCCTTACGTATACACTTCTTTCCCAATATATATATATATATATATATATATATATATATATATATATATATATATATATATATATATATATATATATATATATTTGTGTGTCTGTGTGTGTAGGATGAGAGAAAAATACATAAAAAGAAAAAGCATTCGAGATAGACGTAAACAAATGGCAGAACGAGAAAGAAAGACGGAGAAAGAGAGTGAGAGTTTGGGTGAGAGGGAAACTCCACCAGCTCCGCTGTTACCTCATTCTTCGCAAGACTAGTGTGGAGCTACCCCACTTTTTCTCCTATGAATGAATCGAGAGAAAAACTGATTCGAGTGATCGTGGCTGTGGGACGATATGATGAGAAATCGCACTCTTGCGTATATTATTTCGTAAGAGGAGCGTAGGACTGGAAGGCACTGACAGAACGGCTGAGCCAGTGTTTACGCAAGTGCTTCACTGCAGTGCAGACGGGATACTCTTGCTCCCATTCCTACTCTCCGGTAAGGACACGGGGATGCTGAACGACTCTTTCCGGGCTCAGATCAACGAGAGATTGGCGCCACGCTTCTGATTTGATTACAGCCGTTCTCAATCAACGCCGATAAAACAGCTTAAGATTACCTACTTGGAATCGGTGCCCAATGGTGCCGCCAGCTGCCCGCTTGTTTACGTTAAACGTTTCTGTTGCATTATCAGCAGGCCTTGATTAATGCATGTTTCGAAGAAGGCATCCTATGGAATCGGGGAATTAAGGCTGTGGCGTTTCAAAATATCAATCTTTTCTGGTGTAGTTTCCCTAAGCACCAACTTTGCCACTAAGAATCACTTTCAAGAGGGTATGTTTGTTCGTAATAAAAAGTTCTGAATTGCGTACACTGGGCAATGACTAAAGGAGGAGATGACCGCTAGGGAGCCTTCATGAGGCGGCGCGCACATGAAGGCTCCCTAGCGATCACAACCGCACAGCGCCACTATGCGTGCATCAACAATAAACTTCTCCGGAAAGCAAGTTATTTGACAGGTGAAGTTTGCAGACGCTGTGCTCGCGGACTCACGAGGCACTCTTGAAATGTTTTCAGCTTATCTAATATGTCTTGCCAACTTATCATTTATCGTACATGAAGGTAACAGTGCCTGCACCGATTATAGGTTGACTGCCACATGTCTTAAGATGAATCGCAAGCCATTCATCAAGCCATTCATGTGTGTGTGTGTGTGTGTGTGTGTGTGTGTGTGTGTGTGTGTGTGTGTGTGTGTGTGTGTGTGTGCGTGCGTGTGTGCGTGTGTGCGTGTGTGCGTGTGCGTGTGCGTGTGCGTGTGCGTGTGTGTGTGTGTGTGCGTGTGTGTGTGTGTGTGGAAGAGACACCACTTAGCGGTTGCCTTATTTTCATTTCCAACGGTGTCGATCGGTGGACCGGTCTTGTTACAAACTCTCACGAAGACCGGTCCACTGGTCGAAACCATTGGAAACAAAATTAAGGCAACCGCTAAGTTGTGTCTTCTCTTCACAATTACGTGTGACCCATTGGAAAAACTTGTTAAGTATATATATATATATATATATATATATATATATATATATATATATATATTACAATGTGTAGCATCTTTAACGCCTGTAATTTGTAAGCCTTCTTGTCGAGCCTATGTATTTCGTACCAGAAGAAAAGGATGTCCTGTAAACAACTCTTCCTGCAAGAAACATTGGGCACTCTGTGTTCCTTGGCACGCGAATGGGGTTTCCTTACGCTCTTACAGCGATGGCATAGGCTAAGACGTTTGCGAGGGGCCTAAGAAAAAAAGTTTACCTTGAAACGTGCTGTAATTTTCTTTTTTTTCCTCTGATATTTTATGGATGTGCGGGATTATCGCAACTTTTTTTTCAAATTAGACTTAAAGTTGAGGACCACACTGAAACTTTCTGAGTAATACTTCACCAACACTTTTAACGTTTAAAGAATGAGCAGCTTTGATACCGATTGAACTGGTGTTAAAAACTAACGTCGATGTCATGCTCACAAGACTTGGTTAGACCAACGGAAGCCAAGCTCAACAAAAGATCGTTTGGACCGCTAGCATAAAAATAGCGGTAGGAAGGAACCTTGCTACAAATTAAGTCTCGTCATTTTGAAAATGAAGCACTTCGCAAGTTTGAAGATGAAGCATTTCGCAAGGTGAAGTCGAAATCGCAAGTTCTACGGCCACAGGAATGGTCCGGCTACTTTGTAGATTTCGTGGAACTGTGATAGGTATTTTGTAAAATTTTTCCCTTTTATTATCGTTACACAAATAAAAAAAATAGCCTTTAGCGTTTATATGTGAGCTTATCTGTTTTTGTTTCGATAAAAACGGTGAACGTGATGACGCACAACAGCGGCATTCTTTAAGACGCTCTGCTAATGCTTTAAACAAGAGAGAGCGAACATATTCACGAGAAGGCTAGCCGCGATTACCGCGCGAGAGCAGCAGTACGATGCTCGCGTGATCGAGTGCCGGCTTCTCCGCATCTGGGAACCGGGAGATGCGGGAAAAACAGCTGCGAGACTCCAGCGCGTCCCTGCGTCCCGAGTGATGCCCGCGCCGTCGCGAAGGGGAAAAAAGAACAACTCGGGGGGGGACACGTGACCAGCATCCGGCCAATGGGGTCCGTGCAGCTCCCGCTCGCGCATGCGCCGTCGGCGACCGGCGGCGGACGCGCTGCCCCCACATGCGCGCGACCTGGCAGAGCCGCGCCGAGTGTATTGCTAGCCTAGTGTGTTGTGCGTGCGAGTGTGTGCTGAAGCCGCGCCTCCCACAACGGTCGTATGCATGTTGTGCTGTGAGTTTCCAAACATGGCGCTGCACAACGGAGTATTGGATTCGGTTGTCATCCACAACGGCAACGGCGAGCTGGCACCCGTCAAGGACCACGACGCCATCAAGCTGTTTGTGGGCCAGATTCCGCGTAACCTGGATGAGAAAGACCTGCGGCCGCTCTTCGAGCAATTCGGAAAGATCTACGAGCTCATCGTGCTCAAAGACAAGTACACCGGAATGCACAAGGGTGAGTCGGTGAACGAGCCCACAAGGTGGGCACAGAGTGCTTTGCCGCGTAGCACAAGTGTCAAGCCGAGAAGCCCACGCTGACGGCCGCCGAGCGCTTTGTTTGGACCGCGTGCGCTCCCGCTAGCGTCGGCGGCAGCGGGACGCTCGTGAAGCGCGCGTCTTTGTTTCGGCACCGAGGCCAGAAGCGCTTGCTCTTACGTCACCAGCCTCCTAGTCACCTGCGCCACTCATGGAGCCTCGGGTGCCCCGCTTGTAGGCGCCGCCAAACTCGGCTGACTCGTGGCGAATTCCCCCTGTCAGCGTGTCCAGTTGTTTTTGTCATACAGCTGTAGCGAAGGGTCGGAATAAGCATCCCTAAACCTGCCGATAGGCTTGTAATCCGCCTTTGGCATCTCAGCGGACATTCATTGAAACTCTTAGGTTGAACCCCAAAATTCGGGGAAGTTTTGGAAACGGCAAGCACGCTGCACTGAACAGTTATTCACCTCTACACGGGACAGTTCTGCATTCTAGTGATAATAAGTAACCAAATACGAGCCACTAGTTTCTACTTGCTTGTTTGCACCGTCGATTTGTGCTATGTCACAAACTAATGCATTGCTAAAATGCCGCCAAGACGTACAAACTTCATTCGCATTAGGTTCACCTATTACGGCGAATCGAATACCGCATACTGCCTCTGGATACGTCCAGACATTTTCCTCACGGCCTACGTTTCTGTCATTGTTAAGCTGATTCGCGCTTGACAGAAGAATGGGGACATCAGCAGGGAGGTGGGGAAGAAACCGAGAATCTGGTTTGCTACGCTGCTCATGGAGAAAGAGAGAGGAAAGTATAATGCATAGAAAGTGCTAAACAGCACTTCACCATTGCTGTTGAATGTACAGGGTAATGCCTATCAGTACTAGGCACTCTAATTCATCCGTATATTTGCTCGCAAGAACGGCAATAATGAATTAGTTTGTGTCATCTCTGGGAAGGCTTGTGATGTCGGTACTATTGAAATATTTTTTTTGAAAAAGTTCCGTCATAAATATATACCTGCAAACGCAGTGAAGAGCAGTTTTCGCTAAATGCTGCGTCGTGGTTAGTAGAAGACGTTGTACTGAAGCGTCTCTTCGAAACCCCATTTAATATGCCCAACGTTGTCATCCGATACACATTGCGGCAGAATTTCCTAAGGCTAAGCCATAGACGCTATGGTAGCGTCGCACCGGCCGAGTTGTGGTCAGTCTTGAACCAAGGTGTGTGATGATGAACCAAGTGTGTGCATGACGGTAGCACATGTATGAGCAAACACCTAATTGAAGTTCTCTTCATTACTGCAGATCGAAGCGAGTATCGTTTTTCATACGGAGGAGGAACACTACCTCAAGGAGGTAGAGTAGCAAGCTTAATTTATTTCTCGCTAGCGCTAGTATACGGTCACCAGTGTGCGCCATCTACTCGACGGTAATCACGTTCGAATACATTTCAATACAGCTCGTCTTCCGGTGATTCCTGGAACTTTAAGACGTACTTGCGGTTTTCCTACACACAACATGCGTGATAGTGACCTTGCTGCTGGTGCGAATACATATACTCAAGGCGGCATCGGTGATTAATAACCTTTCAGAACGCCACTCGTTGACCCCGAAGTGGCAAAGCAGGAACGTGGCTATACTGCGGACTTGGCAGAGATGTGCGCTAAGATTAGATACTCACTAGACTCATACGCTCTGTAGCAATCATAATTGTGCATAGTCGAGGTGCACTTCGAGCGTCAGACAAACCTGGCCTTGAAAATTTTGTGGGTTGCTAATACGTAACTTGCATCTATTCACCAGGACATAAGGGTTGTAGAGCAAAACAATAACAGGCGCACTTTGTAAAGCAGCAGTTTGGGTGAGCTTCAGTAGTGTCTATTACACTAAGCACCCAGTCATACGTTCCGAACTTAGCTTTGTGGGTGTGGAATATGAGCTGTACAAGCACTCCTACAATTCACTGAAGAATACATGTTCACGCCAAGCGGTCCTTGTAAGCAAACATAGCGCTTATGGGTACATGAATCATTCTATGATTGTGTATTCTACATAAACTATGCACTCTCCATCAGCAAGTACACATTACAGGGTCTGGCAGACTTCACGAAAACAAGGATAATTCACAACACGCCTTCTGAGGTATATCATTTCTTCTGATTTAGTGATAAGCGAGCTTATCGTAGCAGCCTCATCATTTGTTTGGTTTGTGTGTCTGCATAGGAAAATATTCATAATCGTAAGAAACTCTGCCGTTGTCGTTGGTCGAGCTTTCCGGCCAGTTGTATGAAAGCGCTGCACCTCCTCTCTGTTCATGCTTATCTCACATTACACTCTAAGCCAAAAATGGCCGAAATGGGAGCAACGGCTGTTTTTACTCCTTCAGACCGACTGTTACTCTCAGAAAAGACCAAGCGGAACAAGATGGCCGACTTGTTCGAGAATGGGGGAGCAACTGTATTCATCTTAAGTTTGTAAGGGAGCAACGGAAGGAGGAACCGCTGTAAATGCTCTCGTCACGCAACGGTTACTCCCCGGCAGGACACCGCACACAAATATGCATGCCGCCCACATTGATATTCATGGGCCAGATTATTGTTTGTTCTGTGTGCCAAACTTCACCAAACAAAACAGTGATTTATTTTAGCATCCGTAGATAATAAGATAGCAGCGCTGGCTGAACACAGAAGGCCGAGAATACAGTACGGCAAATACCTAACACACGCAGCAGCAGAATGGAGAGTTGGCACGTCAAAGCGGACCGAACGCCGAAACACGTGCAAAACAACGATAAAAATAGCCTAGACACGCCGTTCGTCCGCGAAGTAAGGGCGTCAAAGTCGATCAAGCACCGAAACACGTGCATAAGGAGCCCCCCCCCCCCCCCCCCCCCCCGCCCAGATATATCGGAGAAGAAGAAGAAAAAAAAAAAAAAAGCGGACCCAGACGCGCTTCTCATCAGCCATCCACTTAGTAGCACGCTTCACCGTGTAGTTTGAGGGCAGAATGACAAATCTGCGCCATCTGCGCCCGCACGACAAGTGTGGCGCTAGCGTAGCAAACGATGTAAGTTACAAAGTAATTTTTATTCAGTGTTTATGTTGACTAGCACTGAATAAAAATTATACTCGACTTTTTATGTTTATTTATGGGTTTTAGTGTACCTCAGTTTTTTTTTATAATTGTATTAGGAGAACACGCTGAAATCATTGCGCTGACGCCTGTGCTGCCACTGCTCGACGTTTTTTTTTTTTTTTTTTTTTTCGGCGCAACTAGGTTCGCGTTCGCACTACTCATATTCATTTGGTCTGTAGTCGGCGAGCACATGGACGTGCGGGCTTGTGAGCTATGTTTTGATCGTGTGTGTGTGTCGCAGATTTGCGTTTCTACTTATTCGTGATGAAGGTTAGTGTATATTTATCTTATGGAGCGCGAAGTAGTTGTGGATTTTGCTGCCGGGTGGAACAAACACATCGTAAACACGTCTTCAGCTATCTGCAAGCCTGTTCGCTCGTCGGACAAAGGACTGTGCATGCATCAGCGTGCAGGTGAGTGGCATTTCCAGCAAGATTTAATGCTCTTACAATACATTGTTGAGTGGTTGCGCTATTGAAAGAGAAATGATTTGCTCTTATTCGCCGTATCCATTGCTTGCCGTATCGGACTAAATTACCTCTATTACCGCCTGCATACCCTCTTGCTTCCCCTGTCACCACTGCAGTGCCAGTGTACTTTTGCAGTTAAAAGTTTATTTCCGCAACACTACCTCGCTTGAAAAAACATTGGGGCGGGGTTGTAGCTGCATTCATACTGGCACTTTTCTACCATCGGCTTTATGTAATGTTAACGGCTGAGTGTTGGGGCCTTGGGCCGCATTATTTAGAGCTGTAAAGTGTATGTAAATCAGTAAGTGAACAAATCATTGTCGCATCACTTCACTGGCATAGCCAGGCGGTTGCGCACAGAATTTTTTTAGGCCGGGCGTAGGGAGCCCAAATTGACGACCATATTCGCTTGCCCGGCCTATTCAGATAAGCGGACCCCCCCCCCCCCCCCCCCCTCCCCGCACGCCTAAAAAAAAAAAAAAATCTGCCCACATCACTGCGTCACTTGCTTCACCTCTGCGCTGAACGTACTATTTTATAAGCGCACCATCAAGCGAGCAGTTTACATATTGACAGAACAATTGGAGGAGGAATGACCCAAATCTTTCAGATTTCTTTAGAGATACAAAACCTTAGCAAAATTGTAAAAGGCAATCATAAATGCTGTATGTTCTCGTTAGCGTTGTCATTATTCTGCATCATGAAATCTTTATGCGCTGTGAAAACTTGGCATGCCGTTGAAGTCACATATCGACGTTAATACCAATCGACGAAAATTTCGACAACCTCAATAACACCGTTTGGGATTTGCCGCATTCACATAATTAGGCTGATTCCCACTTGGCTGTTCTTAACCTGACTTCACTGCTACCAAATGAAACAATATTTGATGCATGTCTTTTACTTTTTTTTCAGGGATATGACACAAATTTGGTTATACTGCAGATGCTCCCAACGATGCTAAAGTACAGAAAGCAAGTGAATTTGGTAAGTGCAGACTTTTTGTACTACGTATATGAAAGCATCGCTTTTTAGGGGCAAAACTGTGCATGTGTGGCCAGAGAATAGTTCATCATGCCACATGGTTACACTGGCACTGACAATTCGACATGGCTCCGCTGGCCCGTGTGTGTGCTCACACTGTTACCGTTAAGATAAAATGTTTATGTTTTCATTGCAGGGATTGCTGTTTGTACTAAAAGCCAACTGCCAAGATTTGTTTACGCTGGTACTCCTAAAAGTATGCTTTCCCTATTTACATGGATTTTGGCTTGCACAAAGCATAACACTTGGGCCTAGATTCACAAAGCTGTCCATGCGCAGGCCTTCATAACAGCGTTTCTTGACTTGCCTTTACCCTGTTTTCTACA